TAAGCTTGTATAACTTTTTTACTGAATTTGTTCTTATTTTTTTGTATATATGAGGACATTTCTTTGTATATCTGATCATTATAAGCCTTTCCTATTTCTCTTGCATTGTGACCTGAGTTCAAGTATAATATTATGTAATACATATAGCCAAATAGTCAAAATAAAAAACAATATATAATTAACTACATATTTATTATATACACTTTTTCGACACTATTTGTATGTTTTTATTCAGTAAAGAAATTCTAATAAATATTGTAGAAAGTTAAAATTAAAAATTACTAGATTAAATATTTTTCTAGTAGAATTACTATAGATTACTAGAAGTTACACAGAAATAAAAATATGAATACAAACTAGGAAAAAGACACAACACACAAATTGAAAAGAAATTGTACAATTGAAACCGAAACCAATAAAATGAAATAAATAATAAACTAAAAGTTAAATAATAAAATATAGGCCATATGATTTAAAGAATTGTAATATAAATCACGCCATTTAGAAACGAGGGGTAGTTTATTAAAAATAAAATACAAAAAATATTAACAAATGGTTAAAATTATATTATGAAATGTTACATGCAATGATCTATATATTTTGAATATGTATTTTATAAAGATTCAAATGTAGCGCCAATATTGTTAGTGGTGTTTCCTCCCACCATAGTATGTATCCACCATCTGGATTTATTTATGTTTAAATATATAAAATATCTTCCCTTCTCTTGCTGACTACTTATAGTAAGAATATCATCATTTTTAAAATAAACCAGCATTTTTATGTATTTTAAATAATATATATTCTCAATATTTTTAATACTTTCTTTAATTTTCATTTGCTTTTTCTCCAAGCTTGTTTTACTTTTGGGGGCGTCCATTAATCACTTGATCGACTTTTTAAGGATTTTAGGGCCCCTCTCCCCCTTGGTGATATTCAAAATTAACCCCCCCCCCATCAAATCTACGTGTATTTCTAGTTAAAGGAAAAAATGGTAAATTTTTGTTTTTGTGAAAATGTTTGGATTTTTTTAAAACGATCAGATAAAAAAATAAATGCATGTGATATCTTACTATTCCGCTCCCTCCCTCACGTGATATTCGCGATTTTTTATCATTAATGGACGCCCCCCTTCATTCAACCGACTAGCATTTCCCAAAATTCGATTCTGGATTTACATTTGTAAACCCCATCGTTTTTTTTTGCATTGCGCTTTGCATTTATAATTTGTCAGTGATGTGGCTACTACATAATTTTATTATTTGAATTTTAATTTAGTATTTTATTTTATCGGTTTGTTTTTTTCATTAAACAATGTCTTCAAATTTGTTTGTTTTTTTCCTGATTTGAATCTATTAATGTGGAGAATGGTGAATGATGATACACATACAGTGTCGAAACGTACACAATGAATGGTAGAGTACCAAGTATATAATATATATATATATATATATATATATATATATATACGAGTATATACCAAGGATTTTTATTTTTTTAAACATAGTGTATAAGTTTATAAATGATTGAAAAGTGTATGAACTAAGAAATTGACATGCTAATATATATATATATATATATATATATATATATATATATATATATATATATATATATATATTAGATGGTAGAGTCTTGGATTTGTAAATATATTGTAGAGCTTCGAAAAAAGAATCTAAAAAGTAATAAAAAAACAAAAAAGTTTTTTTAAAAAACCATTTCATTATTTATTTACTGTCGACGTTTCGGAACTAGGTATGTTTCATTTTCAGGACATCTGTCAAGAAACATGATCTTGATAAGATTTAAGCAAACAATATGTTTAAGAAAAGCAGAAGATGATGGACTTTTTATATATAAAATTAATAAAATTGTGGAAAAAATAATGTACAGAAATATGACAATATAATCGAAATGGAAATGATAAAAATAAATGAGTGGATTATATAACAAAATATTAAAAATGTTAAAAAATTAGAAAGTTTTAGAAAGTTTTAGGAAAAGGTTACTGAAAAAACAGAATTACCTGTATGATCGATTGTACACTAACACTTTCACTAAAAACGATTTTATCAAAAAAAGTGATTTTATAAATTTCTTTTCAGACAAAGAAACACACACATAACAAACTCAAAAAAGACATAATTTAAAGAAATCTTGAATTACAAAATTTGTTTATTCATCTGAAAAGAAATTTATAAAATCACTTTTTTTGATAAAATCTTTTTTAGTGAAAAAGAGTTAGTGTATAATCAATTATATAGGTAATCAATTCTGTTTTTTTCAGTAACTTTTTCTTAAAACTTTCTAATTTTTCTAATGTTTTTTTATCAACTTTTTTGTTTTTTATTACTTTTTGGATTCTTTGTTCGAAGCTCTACAATATATATATATATATATATATATATATATATATAATATGTATATATATATAAATGTATTCTGAGTGGTAAGATATTTATTTAGAAATATGAACAAATTGCACTCTTTTTTGCACCAATTTATTAAATAATATTAATTTTACAAACGTTTTGAGACTAGGTTTGTCCCATAATCAGTGTATTATAATTTAAAATCTAAAATTTGAATGTAGTATAATGTGTAATGTAGCACAACTGTTCTAACTTGTTTTGCTTAATGGTCAGCACATGCCAAACGATAACTGTCCTACGAATCGTTGTGCTCACCAGTAAGTAAAATTAATATTATTTAATAAATAACTGCAAAAGAGTGCCGTTTGTTCATAGTTCTAAATTGATATATATATATATATATATATATATATATATATATATACATATATATATATATATACACCTAAGTCTGTTTTTACACGGTCTTTTTGTACACGGTTTTGATATAACACGGTTTGAAAATTGAATATTTTAATTTTTTTACACGATTTTATTCCATTTAGCACGATTTGAAATTTTATGTACTTAAATTTTTTTGTCAAATTTAATTTTTGCGAAGAATGTTCATATCACAAAAAGTATTTATGAAAGAAAAAAGTCTGAAACCATCGATAGTATCGATAGTTTGCGAACACTAGCTTAAAGATTTAAGTAAATTCTCCTTTAGTGCGTACAAACAATTTTTACTGGTCAAAGCAAATGTGAATAGCACTAATTTAGGGGAATACCTTAAAAATTCTTGTTTTCACTAATTTTAATAGGTTTTAGAGAGTACGACAAATCACCCGTTTTTGTATAAGATCAATGTCTTTTTTTACACGTTTTTTTTTTTTACACGGCTTCTTCTGGAACCAATCTCCGTGTAAAAACAGACTTAGGTGTATATATATATATATGAGCCGCTCAGTGCACACATCGACTAACTCCACTTTTTGAAAAAACTGAGATATTAGTGGGAAAGAACTTGGTATAATCATAACTTTTAGTATTTATAATAACTTTCCGGAATAATAAAGATTAGCACCGTTAAATGGCAAATTTTTTTTGGCCATTACTTATTGAATAATAAGTAATTTATTTCAGAAGCCATTTCGATTAACTCCATACTCTGTATAATGTAAATTGTTTCAGTAACGCTGTATCTGTTCTGGCCATGCATCGACGCTTCTACATTTATATTTGAATTCATATTATCAGGGAAATTTTAAAAAACAATATACATTACATCATCGCGTTTCTCAACTTTTTGTTTTATGGAGTTAATCGATGTGTGCACTGAGCGGCTCATATATATATATATATATATATATATATATATATACATATATATACATATTAGGGTGGTCCTTAATGACATTTTCTAATTTCCTTGCTCCCAAGGACTCAAATGGTTTCAAATTGATCAAAAACAATTCTCTGAAAGTTTTAGCTCTTAATATTGTCTTTTAGATAGTGCGCAATTCAATCAAAGTTTTGTAAGGTATGAAATGATATGCAGCCCATTCCTCGAATTATGAAACGGTTAGAAGAAAAATTATTCTTTATTGACTATATGTTTCGATACCTCGGGGCAAGTTTATGCAAATTGCTGTAAGGCAAAGTGC